CAGATACAGTATGAATGAAACGTAAGCCCGCAATATCAGTATCTCGGAATTGAAAAATCCTCGTCTCACAAGATACCCGTCATCTTTAACTTTTCGTTATTCGCCTCGACGTATCACGCGTAATCGCTTGTATATTTGTAATTTTGCGTGTAACGTTATCGAGCGTCATACAGAAATTCAATGATTCTTCGCTGTACGGTACGATATAGCGTAGCAGATAATTGGGTGTTTTAGCGAGAGCACTAACGAATTAGTAAGGCGTTATTTTTTTCTCTAGATTAAGGATAATTTTTGTTGCTTGCGCTAATAGTGCGACGATTTCTATTTTCTTCTGTAAGTTACACCTTTGAGTGTCGCACGAACGTGTATAATACGGGGATATAAATAATGAATAAAACGTTCGTGTGGACAACGAAAACCGAAATGCACCTCGGAGTCAGTAACAAAAGCCGATGGTTGCTAGGCACAGCCATTGCTACAGATAGTCGTAGATGTAACTTTAATTTGTAATATCGTTATTGTAAGAATATAGAACCGCGCTATGGATTAGGGCGACGATCCCTTATCTGTCACTGTATTATCTTTAACTGTTTCCATCTTCCCTCCCGTCGCGCATCCCTTCGAAGGTATTGATGTGACCGCGCCCGGGCAACGCTTGACAAATTTAGATTATCTTGCATTAAAAATTGTATTTACTATTATTAACTGTACGATTAACTACTACGCGCTGTACGCAGAGGAAGAAACAAACTTTATTTACCAAATACCAGTTTTTTAATAAAAATCTTTTTGTGAAAGAAAATATTGAACGCTTGCTACCTCGCCATGTATCGAAATTATTACGTTACTATTATTTATATTTAATTTTTGCGTAAAATTCAATGCGCAATTAACTAGAATTTAAAATGATCTAATAATTAACAAATAACACGCGCAATATTTTCTGCGTATGCTGTGTACATACAAGATCGATATTCGATTTTTACTTACAATTAGTTTAGTATATGCTTCGAATTTTATAAATAATTTGCGACTCCTTAATATATTTTTTATATGTTTGAAAATTATCAAATTCTTAAATTAATACTTTGATTTGTTACGATTAACATTTACTGACGTATCTCCGAGGATATTTTTTCCATTATCTTCCTTGTTATCATCTTCTATTATCATTTTACGCATTGATTAGTTCCTTACTTTTCACTATACGACCGGTCGCGAGAATATTAGCGTATATTATCGTACGATATGATCGTACGAAGTTTACTTGATAGATCTTTGGCCCACGCAACAGAATTCATCAAAAAACTAATTCATCGACGACGCAATTTTATACATGCACGTACCTAGCAATAATGAACCATCTGTTGCACTTTCGATGTATTTGATGGAAAAAACGATGAAATATGCGAAGATACTTCGATAGATCCAAACTCCGAGCCCACCGCCGTTGACTGCGACTCCCCGAAATCTTGTTATTAAGCACATAATAGCGATAGCATTCAATATTTTATACATTACAATGATCACTCGACACTTCCGATCACTATTTGCATTCACGAGATCCTTTCTGAGCAATAACGACTACGAGAAGTATGAGACAAGTCCGTACATGTCCCGAAGTGTCCCGTAACTGATATGACAGGTTCAATCGCAATATTGAAATTCAAAGTTTCGAGAATCGTAACTATCGAAATGGCTGCGGCGCAGCCATTTCTTCTTTTGTGTATTTGGTGTGTGTTTATATAATTTATGACTACGTTTACACGCCTTGCTTTCCAGCAAGGACACTGTGTAACGTAGTGAGTCGTTTTATCCTTGTTTAACGTTGGCAAACGACAAGGATAAAACGACTCACTGTGTTACACAGTGTCTGATTATGTCCTTGCTGGAAAGCAAGCACGGTCACCTTTAATCGGATTTAATAACATCCGTAGTTAGGAACTAATCAATCACAGTCATTCCATTCTTCACAGGAATAGCTATGATTGGTCAATTTGGTCGTAAAACAAATGAAAGGGACATGCACGCACGTACGCACATACTCGTGTTGACAATTGTCAAATAGTTGTCATGCAAATTCATTGATAATATATAACATAAGAAGATAGCGTAATGAGATCGCAAATGATCGTTCATTCGATATAATCAAATCGTCTTCATAGGACGCTATTTCATAGCGTTTTGATTTGACAACTGAACACAAATGTGATTGCAATAACAGGCTTGCTTTGACGATGTGCCGCAAGAATTTTCACGTCGCAGTATGAAAAATCGTTTATACGATTACATCTGCATTTTCGTCGTGCTCGAGATATTGCAATCGTCAATTTGTTATGCGAAAATCATCAGTGATACTCGCAGGTATTGACAATAATTTTCTTAAACTCTACATCACCCGTATGTTTCATATAATTTGTTATGGATTTAATGAGATTTTCACTTTCCACTTATTATCTGTTATGTATTGTCTGTACGTAAAATATTCTTCATACAGCACAGATTATGCCAAGCAAAATTGCAACGTTCCAGCAATATTGTAGTAACATTGGAAACGTTGCAGCAATGTTGCGAACTTCTGTGCTGTATGAGTTTTTCAAATATTTTATATTGCTTAGAAGATTACATGTTTCTAGAACAAAACGGGAGATATCTGTTGCTGAAACGTCACAATTAAAAGAAGACATAAACTATGCAAAAGAAATAAATTTGCAACATGAAGAGAAAAGTGATAATGATCTTGAAGAGGATGGTACGTATCAAGACGATACAAGTAAGAAACGCAAAATTTCGAAGAAAGCTGCAAATTTCATGAGTTCCACCGACTTTTGCCCATCAAAGGCTGAAGAATCTTTCAATCGTGACAATGTATCCAGCTATCTTAACTTGCAACGCTCGAATGAGGATTTAGAAACGGAAGAAGCGACAAAACAAGAACGCGATAAAAATGAAAAAGCAAGCAATTTCATCCGCTTACCTCGGAACATAAATGACGACTTCAACAGGTATACCGATCAGAATGAGAGATCGAGTTTGTACGACGATTACGAGGCAAAAGATATCGCAAAGCGTGGTATTCTAAGCGGCTCAGAGGATTACGAGGAAATGGAAGACGACTTGCCCGGAATAGAAGATATGGCTGCAGTGCAAGAATTGACAAATGAAGCTGAAAAGAGAGAAACACAGAAGGATGCTCGGGTGAAAAGGGACCAAGCGGAAATTTCAGAAATGCTTGATAAATCCAGATCAAACCTAGACAATCCAGCAAAGTTAGAAGAATCAAAAATTGTAGAAAAAAATCCTTACTCGCGCGAAGTTTTTCATACTGAATTATCGAAAAGTTTTAACGAAGCGTCAGCACCCAACACGATTAAAGATTTCGAATCAAAGGACGTAATCTCAAAGTTGAGCGGTTCTTCTAAAATCCAAGAACCAGCAAGCATAGTTGCTCCGCTCAAGAAAGACGAATTAAACGCAGAATACGAGAAACGCGTGGAAGAGGAGATTCAACGGAAGATTGATTTTATTAAGGAGGAGATTAAACGAGATATTGAAGTTCAACAACGAATAAGAGACATCGAGAATAATAATGCTAGATTCGACGAATTGCAGGATCAAGAACATGAGGATGAAGAAAGACAGAACTTCGAGAATGAATCAATCAAGAAGCGGCAAACTGTAGCCAAGAAATCTGTACAAGAGATTGCTGATGATGAGAAAAGTTCTTCTCCTGAGAAAAGTGAGGAGAAACGGTCTTTGAAAAAAGAACAGCATAAAAAACGGCAACATCGATCTAATAAGATCAGTACATCGGATACTTCAAAGCAGAATGAAAATCTGAAACGACAAGTCGTGGCCGATTACGACAAACCTTCTGAGCAAGTGCCTTCGAAAGAGCTTTTCAAAAAGAAACGCGAGCGTGTCAGACAAATTTTTTTGGTGAATAACGATCAGCATCAGACAAAGAGGAGACAACTGAGAAGCTACTCGTTGCCATCTGCCCAGGCAGTCGTCAGATCCGAAGATGAATTATTTATGAATCCCAAACTGAATTCGTATCTCCGTACGGACAATAGAATGGTGAGGCTTAACAGAAAGCAGACTAAAACATTATTGAGCGATATATTATTAAAAATTGATTAATATATTATATAAAACAAATTGCTATTATATAAAATATAAAACATAAAGCTACTACTTAAAATATAAATATTAATATAATATATATAAAAATAAGAAAGTAATAAAATTGTTGCAGTTCGAAAAATCTTTGCCAGTTGGCAGCGAAGATGAAAATAACGAGGAAGAACAGAGCCCTACAGCAGAACAGTCAGATTCTTTGGTATCTCTTATTGGAAGTTCACAGGAATTAAGTCCATGTTTAGAAAAAGAGTACAAAGAAGCCTTTGGTGGATTGCAAAGTGAGCCTGGCAACGCTTTAGCCAGATTCAAAAGGGTCAAACGTGTGCTAACAAACGATCCTAACGCAATTTAAAATTTTGATTAAAGTATAAAGATGACATAGATTAATCTTCCTTTAATAATCTTCAGGATGAAAATATTTCTATCATACAAAATGAAATTATAAAAAAATATAACGATATTTTTTTAATTATGATTAATAGCAAAAGGCTACATAAATAGGAATATGTAGGAATAGATGTATGTAAAAAAATATCAGAATAGATTAAATAGATATTAAAAAAGCAGAATAATACATTTGTAATTAGAGAAATGATTATAGCTATAATAAAATGTAATATCATTAATTACAAAACATTTCGAGATTGTCGGTCGATTTAATCCTAGCTTAAATAAATGATATATAAATTCTTGACACAAATGCCTAATTATGCTATTTAATATTAATTTATGAATTTCTGTGCCGACTCTATATAATCTTAAAAGATATCAAGTTAAATATCAAAATATTTGTTTCTGTTCAGCTAAAAATGATTAAAAATATTGGTAATACTTATAAAATAAGAGAAATGTACATGTCAATCAAAATTTTCAATAACTGCTGTTAAATTTTTCTTTTCCTCTGTACTTGCAAAACTATATTGTACAGATAATGCAGACAGTTCTTTGAGCTGTTGTTTTCCAATATTAAAAACAGAACTTAATATTTCCAATTCTTTTGACAAGCATGTATTAAAAACACCTTTATCATCAGTCTAAAAAAAGTTATATTTTAATTTTTTAATTTTAAACAATATATTATTTGTTATACTCACTCCAATAGTTATGGGATGTCCAGCTTTGTACAGATATTTAAATTGATGATACATATAAGATGACACTGTTTTACATTTAATGTTTGATGTTAAGCATAATTCTAGATTAAAAGGAAAAAATAAAATATGTTTACCAGTTTGTACATATTAACCACATTCATCAAAATATCTTTGAAAAGGAGAATTATCTCTCTCGAAGATCTCTTACCAACAGGAATTTTGGATTCCAATAATGTATCAAATAATTGCTGAGAACCTTGCAAACTAGGATGAATGCAAGTACAATGTCCCAAACGATCAGGTTTAAATTTTAATATATCATTTGTTTCCATTTCATTTGGTACCTGCATATGTATCTTATATATATATGTACTATATCTATTACATACAGAGACAATTGATTTTATTTGGAAGATAATTTACCTCTGCACAATGAGCTGTAATTCTAAGTCCTACTTTCCTAGACGTTTCTAATAATTCTAAAAATGAATCACCCACTGTTGGATCACCACTAAGATCAATACCTACAACATGTTCTGGATGTTTTTCCATAAACTGTATAGCAAGATTTATGTTTTCTTCTGCAGGTTCGTAACCTTGTTTTCGATTGATTGATACTAGTAGTTTTACAAGAATTTGTGGAAATTCAGATTTCGACGCTCTGTACATATCAGATGTAATAATACTGATTATTTCAAGGAAAAATAAAAAATGTGCCCCATATATGTATATATATATATATACATTTAAATCACAATCTGCTATACAAGCTAATATACAGACATTACTGAGTAGTTACTTACTCGATAGCTTTTATTATAGCTTGAAGATACTCTGTTTTTGTCATTACATCCTTTACAGCACGAGGTGTGCTCCTTAATTCTAAATAAATCACATTATCTTCGTGAAACTCTTTTATCACATCACAAGTAGCAACAAATACAGCTTGTGGTGTAATTGTTAGTGCATGAGCTATATCAAACATTTTAAAACATCTGGAAAATTAATAATATATAGCACATTTTTTGTTGAACAATTTATTACCTCAAATCTCAACGTTTTATAAAAAAAATAAGAAAAAGCCTGTGTACTCGCTTAAAGACGAAAAATTGGTGGTATCCAGATCCATAAAAGTTTCATTACAAGTAGTGTCTGAGCGTTGCATTTTACATAATTTTTGCAACGTATTTATACTTAATGAACCGTTTAAATGTGCATGAAGTTCCTAATAAATAATTAAAAAAAATTAATTATTTAGTTTATTAAAAGATTTATGAGGTTATGAAGTATAAAATAAAAGTGGTAATTATACAGTTTAGTTATAGCACCTCAAAAATCAATAAAATTAGGTTTATTTGATGCGTTTTTGCATGAAACGAAAAAATCTGGTAGAAAAAAGTGTCGCTCTGCCCCGCGAACCGAGATATTAAGTAAAATTCACGACTATTGAGGTTAGGAAATCTGTCACAGCCACGCAACGAAATTTCCTAACCTCAATAGTCGTGAATTTTGCTTAATATCTCGGTTCGCGGGGCAGAGCGACTTTTTTCTGCCAGATTCTTTCGTTTCATGCAAAAACGCGTCGAATAAGCCAATTTTATTGATTTTTTACTACTGTACTGTAAATAAACTGTATAATTATCATAAAAGCACTCATTTATCACAATAAGCGTTATTTTTAGATTCGACTTAAAATATACTTACCACTTTAGGTAACTTTCGGCAAAACTCTGGTATATCCATTTTATCATTCAATATATCTCTTACCTTTATAAAATGATCATTAATGTTTCATAAAATAAATGTTCATGTTATAAATGCAGGACGCGGTCAAGTTGCTGCTACGAATGCATCTTAAGCCCAGTG